CCCCAAAACCCCAAAACCCCAAAACCCCAAAACCCCTGGGAGTGCTGAAGATGCTGAAAGTGGTATTTATAGCACTTATTTCGTTTTAAATGTTAGGAGGTTGCATTGTGTGGAATTTTGTCAAGAATTCATGGGTTTAGGATCCTTTGGAAAGGATAACTAAGTGGGGCATGTTATGTTTATACTGCAAGTGTTTGTGAGTTTTGAAGATGTAGCTTTGATGTATTAAGGCTAGTAGTACTCATCAAAGAGTGTAAGAAGTTATTCTTCTCAGGAACTATAAGATTCTGGGCTTTTGGCTGGCGAATTTGTATTTTAATGTATATCTTCTTGCAAAAGAATATTTATTTGGATCTTATTTTTATTGCAAGAGAGTATTTTTAAATCAAGGCTGCCTGTATAACATTGGCTGATTCACTATTATCAAAGAGAGCTGTTAGATTAAAATTAGATCAACAATTTTATCTGCACTCTATGAAAGATGCTAAGAAGCAACTATTGAAGAATGAAGGAAGCCAAAAGAGCAAAATTAGCTTCTTTAGGATTGTTTTACTGAATTCTAATAGCTAATCATTCTTTACTTTAAATGAAGAATGTTTTAAGTTGTTTCTTTTCGGCTTCTTCAGATAAGCTTACCTCTAAGAATCATCTCCCTGTTCGGAACTAGATGGCATGAACTCCCTCTGACACTTTCAATAATTTAAGGATCTCTAGAAGCAAAACTAAATTATGATAGTTGGTCTTTAAATGTAAACTTCAAGAAATAGTATTGAAAGTTTTGTGTTTGGAAACGATAAATAACTTTGATCCTGAAAAGACATGGTTTCTTCTTAAAGTGTAATTTTGTGTTCTCTTTCAATAATTTTCATAATATTTGCTTATCTCCTTCTGTGGTCTCCTGATGAGTGAAGGAAGACCATCCAGACTATTGGTTGACTTTGTTCCACTATTGGTTGCCATATAACACAAATTGTAGAATTATTATGCTCTAAAGGTATTTTTGTAAAAAGGGCAAGCTTTGGAAGAGCACCCTCTGTTGGAAGAGCATTTATAAAAGAGGTTGAGATTGGCTGAATATGCTTTAAATAAACTAACTATGACTTTGAGAAGGTCCATAAGGTATCCATGATTTTTCTGACTTTTTGAATTTTTGGAAATAAACCTACCAAGAAAATAAACCTACCTCTCATAAACCTAGATAATAAAACTTTCCATTTCCTGGTTTGTCCAAATATCCATATTTGAGGAGGCAGTTATCTTACTTTGAAGATGCTACAACACATCCTGGTCATCAAGAGGGATTAATTTAATGCCCTTAAAGCATAAAGCAGCCATACCTATAGAATCTTGGGTTGGACCAAAAAAACACTCATTTAATCATTTTCAGTACTCCATTGACCGATTTATGTTTGTGAGTAAATTTACAGTATACTTCTGAAAATGATTGCTGAAGGCAAGTTTGAGAGGAAGAGACTAGGATTCGCAGTTTTTCATGCATTTAATCATTTCTCATACTTTGCAAATTCTTGTGTCTTCTGAATTGCAATTCTCTATTAGACTCATAACTAAGTTTCAAGTATTCATGAAACCCTTGTTTTATTCCGTTTCTGGGTTCAAAATTTTAATTCTCTGAGATTACAGCATTTTAAAATCTTCAAATATATAGCTAAATGGATTTTTGATATGCTCTCTAAGAAAATCTCCTTCTCTAAATCTTGCTTCCCTACTAGCATCTAAGCCTAGACCAAAAGAAAAGAGAATTTATATGAAAATTATTATTATTGATCATTAATTAGGAATCTTTCTTTGTCTGTCTCCCTCTGTTTTTACCAAATGCAGTGAGATCCTTCTCAATGTAAGATTTCTTCAATCTCATGCACATGCTTTGGAGAGCAGCCATGGTCTTGCCAGGGAATTGATATATCACTTTTTCGTAGTCTATGTTCTGGTACTCATAATTTTTCTTCAAGATCTTCTTGAGACTCTTAATTTCTCTGAAGGAAAATTCAAATTTAGAAACAGTCTGGATTCGGGCAACAAGCTTCTCTGGGGTAGCCTTCCATCCTGATCTATGTCAAAGTTCTTGAACTCCTTCGTGATGAGTCAGGTCAGTTTCTGGGTCAAGCTTCAAGAGATCATTAAAAGTGAAGATTCCTTCTTTCTCCATATCTCTGATTTTCTGGAACAAAGACTTGTCTTCTGTCTTGCCCCATCTTCTGAAAATTACCTTATCTGTCTTCTTCTTGGAAAATAGCTTGTCCTTGGTCTTTCAGGAGAATTTCATCAGCTGAATCTGAGTTGTCTTCGTGTTAGAGTTCTCTGAGCCAGGGGTCTCTTCCTTCTTGTCCAGTGGCAAGGAATTATTCAATATTGAAAAATCAGGAAGTCCAACTTCTTGAGCTTCTTCGTCAAATTGATGGGCTGGCATCCCGAACAAAGTGTTGTCAACAGCTTCTTGGCCAACTTCGAGAACTTTTGGGGAACTGGCTTGATCGTTTTGTAGGGTATCCACATTTTCGGGGACATCCACGGAGCAATATTTGGCTATAAAAAGTCTTGAGGAATTGGGATTTATAATGAGTTAAAATAAGAGTAAATTTTTTAATTAAAGCAAATTTGTCTTCTAAAACTTGAACATCTGCGAAATTAGAGTTCAAAGTGATTTTAAAAGTGAATATTATTAACTTTAATTCTCTTTTCTAAAATAGATGTACCTCAAAGCTTCGAGATTCTTGGTGTGGGATAAGATGGGTTGGGAAGAAATTTTAGAGCCTCAAATGCTTCCGAGCTAAGAAAAGCTTGTTGTTTTCTAATTTCAGTTAATTCTCTCTCTTTATTATACTTAGAGAGTTGATAAGGTGAGATCTTCTTGAGATTTGATACCTGAAAAGTATAAACCTCTGAGCTCTTCCATAAATTTTGGTTCTTTCGAAATAGAACAAGTTGGCTTACCTTCAAAGCAAAAAGGGTTTTGAATCTCATGTGCTTCAGGAAATTTAACCATCTCGAAATCGAATGGATTCTCTGAAAAGCTGAACATTGATAAAATAATAATATAGATTTCTATTAAAGAAGTCCTTTATGGGGTTTTGGGGTTTTGGGGTTTTGGGG